TTCAACTGGAAGCCAGTGGAGTGTGCGGAGGAGCGGGTGACGTGAGAGAACTTGGGAAGGTTGAACACCAGACGGGCTGCGGCGTTCTGGATGAGTTGTAGGGGTTTAATGGCACAGGCAGGGAGCCCAGCCAACAGCGAGTTGCAGTAATCCAGACGGGAGATGACAAGTGCCTGGATTAGGACCTGTGCCGCTTCCTGTGTAAGGCAGGGTCGTACTCAGCGAATGTTGTAGAGCATGAACCTACAGGATCGGGTCACCGCCTTGATGTTAGCGGAGAACGACAGGGTGTTGTCCAGGGTCACGCTAAGGCTCTTTGCACTCTGGGAGGAGGACACAACGGAGTTGTCAACCGTGATGGCGAGATCATGGAACGGGCAGTCCTTCCCCGTGAGGAAGAGCAGCTCCGTCTTGCCGAGGTTCAGCTTGAGGTGGTGATCCGTCATCCACACTGATATGTCTGCCAGACATGCAGAGATGCGATTCGCCACCTGGTTCTCAGAAGGGGGAAAGGAGAAGATTAATTGTGTGTTGTCTGCGTAGCAATGATAGGAGAGGCCATGTGAGGATATGACAGAGCCAAGTGACTTGGTGTATAGCGAGAATAGGAGAGGGCCTAGAACTGAGCCCTGGGGGACACCAGTGGTGAGAGCACGTGGTGCAGAGACAGATTCTCGCCACGCCACCTGGTAGGAGCGACCTGTCAGGTAGGACGCAATCCAAGAGTGAGCTGCGCCGGAGATGCCCAACTCGGAGAGGGTGGAGAGGAGGATCTGATGGTTCACAGTATCAAAGGCAGCAGATAGGTCTAGAAGGACGAGAGCAGAGGAGAGAGAGTTAGCTTTAGCAGTGCGGAGAGCCTCCGTGACACAGAGAAGAGCAGTCTCTGTTGAATGACCAGTCTTGAAACCTGACTGGTTTGGATCAAGAAGGTCATTCTGAGAGAGATAGCAAGAGAGTTGGCTAAAGATGGCACGCTCAAGAGTTTTGTAGAGAAAAGAAAGAAGGGACACTGGTCTGTAGTTGTTGACATCGGAGGGATCGAGTGTAGGTTTTTTGAGAAGGGGTGCAACTCTCGCTCTTTTGAAGATGGAAGGGACATGGCCAGCGGTCAAGGATGAGTTGATGAGCGAGGTGAGGTAAGGGAGAAGGTCTCCGGAAATGGTCTGGAGAAGAGAGGAGGGGATAGGGTCAAGCGGGCAGGTTGTTGGGCGGCCGGCCGTCACAAGTCGCAAGATTTCATCTGGAGAGAGAGGGGAGAAAGAAGTCAAAGCATAGGATAGGGCAGTGTGAGCAGGACCAGCGGTGTCATTTGACTTAACAAACGAGGATCGGATGTCGTCAACCTTCTTTTCAAAATGGTTGACGAAGTCATCCACAGAGAGGGAGGAGGGGGGGGAGGAGGATTCAGCAGGGAGGAGAAGGTGGCAAAGAGCTTCCTAGGGTTAGAGGCGGATGCTTGGAATTTAGAGTGGTAGAAAGTGGCCTTAGCAGCAGAAACTGAGGAAGAAAATATAGAGAGGAGGGAGTGAAAAGATGACAGGTCCACAGGGAGTCTAGTTTTCCTCCATTTCCGCTCGGCTGCCCGGAGCCCTGTTCTGTGAGCTCGCAATGAGTCGTCAAGCCACGGAGCAGGAGGGGAGGACCGAGCTGGCCGGGAGGATAGGGGACATAGAGAGTCAAAAGATGCAGAAAGGGAGGAGAGGAGGGTTGAGGAGGCAGAATCAGGAGATCGAAGGGAGAAGGATTTAGCAGAGGAAAGAGATGATAGGATGGAAGAGGCGAGAGTAGCGGGAGAGAGAGAGCGAAGGTTGCGACGGCCCATTACCATCTGTGTAGGGGCAGAGTGAGTAGTGTTGGAGGAGAGCGAGAGAGAAAAGGATACAAAGTAGTGGTCGGAGACATGGAGGGGAGTTGCAGTGAGATTAGTAGAAGAACAGCATCTAGTAAAGATGAGGTCAAGCGTATTGCCTGCCTTGTGAGTAGGGGGGGCGGTGAGAGGGTGAGGTCAAAAGAGGAGAGGAGTGGAAAGAAGGAGGCAGAGAGAAATTAGTCAAAGGTAGGTAGCTTAATGGTTAAGAGCGTTGTGCCAGTAACCGAAAGGTTGCTGGTTCTTAGCCCTGAGCCGACTAGTTGAAAATTCTGTCGATGTGCCCTTGAGCAAGGCACTTAACCCTAATTGCTCCTGTAAGTCGCTCTGGATAAGAGCGTCTGCTAAATGCCAAAAAAGAACTCTCCAAGGGAACCTTGAGGGCGATAAATGATAAGGATGTTAAGCTTGAATGGGCTAGTGACTGTGACAGCATGGAATTCAAATGAGGAGATAGACAGATGGGTCTGGGGAGAAAGAGAGAATGTCCCCTTGGGAGAGATGAGGATTCCTGTGCCACCACCCCGCTGACCAGATGCTCTCGGGTATGCGAGAACACATGATCAGACGAGGAGAGAGCAGTAGGAGTAGCAGCGTTTTCAGTGGTAATCATGTTTCTGTCAGCGCCAAGAAGTCGAGGGACTGGAGGGTAGCATAGGCTGAGATGAACTCTGCCTTGTTGGCCTCAGAACGGCAGTTCCAGAGGCTGCTGGAGACCTGGAACTCCACGTGGGTGGTGCGTGCAGGGACCACCAGGTTAGAGTGGCAGCAGCCACGCGGTGTGAGGCGTTTGTATGGCCTGTGCGGAGAGGAGAGAACAGGGATAGACAGACACATAGTTGACAGGCTACAGAAAATGGCTACAATAATGCAAAGGAGATCGGATTGAAATTAACTTAACATCTGGGAAAGCGAGAGAGCGGGGCCTCCCTCACTTACGTTTCACTGAAACACTCAAATATAACTCTCCCAACTTCCACTGTAGAAATTATAATTGTTGTAAACTACAGCGGTTCAATGTTTTCTAGGAATAGACTAACTTAGTTTATTCAGGAAGCTGACTTGGTACAGTATTGTTCCGTGAAAACCGTCCAGGGCACTGAATCCTTTGACGCCATAGCCAACTAGCATGCCAGGCTCCAATAACACGGTTTAGCGCCAATACTCGGTTACAACAAACCACCAGTGTGTTAACATGCCAAGCAGATCATTCGTGTCCGTGTCTAATGTTGTGTAAAGTTTTGGGTTAGTTTTGACAGTTTGAGTGAGTCTGTCGTCAACTTATTCAGCCAGTTAGTTAGCTAGAATAGTTAGCATACTAGCTAGCCATTGCTCTCTGCCAACGAAAAAAAAAGAACTCCTCCCACGGCACGAACACACAGAGCGCCAAGCTAACGTTAACTAGTCACCCATGTCCCGAATTCCCTTGAACGACTCTGGTTACCAGTATGTAAAAACAAAACACAAATGTAGGTTATAACTTACCCCTAGTAGCTACTGTTAGCTAGCCAAGTGCAAAGCTAGCCACTGAATCGATTCAGCCAGCTCGCGTCTGTTCGCTAGGTCGTTCCAGCTATTGTTTAGTAGCTATCCAGGTAGCAACAAGCTAGCTACATTTCGAGGACAGTAGCTACTAACTACCTAACGTTAACGCTTCAGATAATGAAGCTCATCTGAAGTCGCTACCGTCGATGTGCCAACTTCTGTTTGTAGCGTCCGAACCGTTCTGGTTACAAACCTAATGTGACTGTGCCGTGGAAAGGGGAGATTCTCAAGAACGTGATCGGGTTCTCCGGTTTGCTCTACAACCCCTACAAGTGTCACATGACTTCTCTGAAGGTCACCCGGTACCGTTTTTTTTAAAAAATGAATGGAAGTATAAAGGTAGTTTTGTGCCTACCCCAAAAAAAGTGTGAAATGTAAAATGAGCCATAGTATGACCATCAAAGCAATTCTGTGTCAGCTTAGAACTGCCCCCCCCCCCCCTCACCCTTCCCCCCCTCACCCTTCCCCTCCCCCTCCCAACAGCTTGTACTTGTTCCACTGTCTATGCATTTATTTCACACACACACACACACATCGCAAACACTGTCAGAGAGAGGTTTGTTAAAAGTATTTTAGTTTCACAACATTCCTCAGGAACATCAGACCACAGGATTATATTATTCAGTTGTATATTGTTAGGTAGCTCTGGTCCAAGGTGTTACATGCATCTAGAAGGTTCAGCACCAGCAAGTCGCACGTAACGCCTCGGACCAGAGCTGATCATTAGGACGTAGTGCAACAACATACTGGGAGTTAGGCAGTGTCCCAAACGGTCCTCGATCCCTTTATAGTGTCCTAGCACTATGACCCATAGGGCTCTGATCAACAGTAGCAGGGAATAGGGTAGCATTTGGGAATGAAATAGTTAGATATTAAGACAGGAGACAACTCTATAATAGAAAATAAATCAACTATTTAAAAATAAATCCCATAATAATGCCAATGACTGCAGAGTGGGTGTGTGTGTGTGTGAGTGTGTGTTTGAGTGTGTGTGTGTATATATATATATTTGACGTGTGAGTGTTCCAGTTTCTATGATGGCCCCAGGTACAATGAACAGACCTGGAGATATTTATTAGTTTTTTGATCGATCAGAAAAAGAAAAAAAAAAGTGATTAATCAGTGATAGATTGGTACGATCGTGAGTATAGGCTTCTCCAGGTTCTATCCAGGCCGGTAGTACAGGTCCATATGGTACCCTCTTCCCTATGGGCCCTGGTTAAATGTAGTGCAGTGAATGGAACGGGGAACAGGGTGCCATTTGGGCCATATCCTTTGCGAGTTTAGTCCAGTAGGGGAATATTAGTACAAGCAGCCAGACAGAGGCTCGGTCCCAAATGGCACCCTGTTCCCTATATAGTGCACTGCTTTTGACCACAGATTGATATAGTGCACTACAGAGCCTATGGGTCGCTGGTCTAAAGTAGTGCACCGTATAGGGAATAGGGTGCCGTTTGGAACGCAGACTCTAAGACCGGTTAGTTATTCCAGATAAAGACATTTTTAGACAGTTTGATCAAGTTTGACATGGTCATGTTAATATGTTTGTTCTCACGCTCCCCCCCCCCCCCCCCCCCCCCCTCATATCAGGGGTTCCCTGGTTCCCCTCTCTCCCTCTATGTGATGTTCTGTAAAGGATCGCTGATCTTCAGACAGCCCCAGTAGATCATTCTGCACATGCTCAGTAGAGCCAGGAGAATCAGGAAGATCCAGGAGGCATAGATCCCTCTGTGGAGCAAGGCTGGCTTCCACGTTCCCACCTAGACCGAGAGAGAGAGAGAGGGGGGGGGGGGGGGGGGGGGGAGAGAGAGAGAGAGGGGAGGGGAGAGAGAGAGAGAGAGAGAGACAGAGAGACAGAGAGAGAGAGAGACAGAGAGAGAGAGAGACAGAGAGAGAGACAGAGAGAGAGACAGAGAGAGACAGAGACAGAGACAGAGAGAGAGAGAGAGAGAGAGAGAGAGAGAGAGAGAGAGACAGAGAGAGAGAGAGAGAGGTCAGAGTACTAGGCATAAATCCCTCAAGGCTGGCTTCCACGTTCCCACCTATACACACACACCTATGGTTACTATGCTACTGAAATAGTAAATATCTTCATATACTAAACTCACCACTAGTCCGGCCGTGCCGCCAGAGAAAACCAGAAACAACAGGAAACACCACAAGCCCCACCTCCTGGGGTACCGCCGACCAATAGAAGAGCTGCAACAGAGATACACAGGAAATCAGTACAGGAACAGAGTTGAAGATCGGTAAAAGGAATAAACTGGTAAGAAGGTATTTGGACTCACACTTTTCTGCAGTGGGGGCATCTGGCTAACGTTCTGTCTGAGAACTCAGTCCACTGACAACACACACAGTGCACTTATTATTATTACTACTGTTAGTATAGACTACTACTACTACACCCCCCCCCTCCCTCGCACACACACACACACACACACACGTGTGGTCCTACCAGGAATGTGTTTCTGCAGTGTCCACAGACCACTCTGACCCCAGCAAGTTGTTGAGGTTGTGGACTGTCTGAACCCGACCCTGCAGCACCATGCACCGGACCCAAGTTGATGATACGCTTACTAGAACACGCAAGCACACACACACACACACACAGACACACGCAAGCACACACACAGACACACGCAAGCACACACACACACACACACACAGACACACACACACACAACACAACACACACAACACACACACACCCACACACACAGCACCACACACACACACACACCCCCCACACACACACACACACACACACACAGACACATACACACACACACACCATACACACTCATCACACCACACACCCAACACCACCCAAACAAAACAAAAAAAACATACACACCAAGCACACACAACACACACTAGCTCAGTTAACATGAATCTGACTCTAGCCTAGATGAAATCAAATTGTAATTTGTTCACATGCTCCGATACAACAGGTTGTAGGACATTACAGTGGAAATTGTCTTGACTTACAGCCCCCTTCAAATCAACAACTGCCAGTTTAAAGAAAAGAATACCAAGAAAAAGAACAAACTAAAAACCACAATATAAAATAATATGAAATAAAAGTAACAAATAATGAAAGAGCAGCAGTAAAATAAAATACCAGTAGTGAGGCTATATACAGGGGGTACCGGTACAGAGTCAATGTGCTGGGGAACTGGTTAGTCGAGGTAATTGAGGTAATATGTACATGTGGGCAGAGTTAAAGTGACTATGCATAGATAATAAACAGAGACTAGCAGCAGTGTAAAAGATGGGGGTGGGGTGGACAATGCAAATAGTCTGGGTAGCTATTTGATTAGATGTTCAGGAGTCTTATGGCTTGGGGGTAGAAGCTGTTTAGAAGCCTCTTGGACCTAGACTTGGCGCTCCGGTACCGCTTGCCATGCGGTAGCAGAGAGAACAAGAGAAGAAGTGCTTGGTCCCTTATTTTTCCTGTAGTCCACAATCATCTCCTTTGTCTTGATCACGTTGAGGGAGAACTAACAGAATGGACTCTAGTCTAGATCAGTAACAGAATGGACTCTAGTCTAGATCAGTAACAGAATGGACTCTAGTCTAGATCAGTAACAGAATGGACTCTAGTCTAGATCAGTAACAGAATGGACTCTAGTCTAGATCAGTAACAGAATGGACTCTAGTCTAGATCAGTAACAGAATGGACTCTAGTCTAGATCAGTAACAGAATCGACTACTCTAGATCCCTCCACTCTTATCCCTCTCCCTGCCAAACCTTGTCCTCTCTCTCTACCCTCCCTCCTCTCTCTATCCCCTCGTCTCCGTCTTTCTTTCTCTCTACCCGTCTTTCCCTACCTCCACGTCTCTCACCAGTAAAGTCGGGGACAGGCGATCCTCTGGGAGGTGACTTTACAGATGAGGAGACAGTTACAGGGGCAGCGGACATACTTCTTCCCTGCTGGAGCATTCTTTATAGGCTAGAGAGAGAGAGAGAGAGAGACGGTGATAAGAGTTAGTTCTGATAACTACTTAATAGTATCCTTCCATCAGTGATCAGTGTGTGTGTGTGTGTGTGTGTGTGTGTGTGCTGTAAGTACATAGAACTGTTGTCTGTGTTCTGCTCACCGTAGCCTCATTGCAGATGACACACTTGACTACGTGTTGGTGTGTCCTTCCCTCCACGCCGATGGCACTCTGACACACCCTATAATACAGTACAATACAACTTTATAGTGCATATGTTAAAGCAAACAACAGATTTGCCTTCTGCTAAATGTTTAACCCCTACGGGTATTCTACCGGCCAGGGATTCAAAAACGGCAACCTTTCGGCTACAGGTCCATCTGCTTAGCTGCTGGGGTAATAATAATAATAATAATAATAATAATAATAATAATAATAATAATAATAATAAGCCATTTAGCAGACGCTTTTATCCAAAGCCACTTACAGTCATGTGTGCATACATTTTTACGTATGGGTGGTCCCGGGGATCGAACCCACTACCCTGGCGTTACAAGCACCATGCTCTACCAGCTGAGCTACAGACGAGCAGGTCCTCAGGGTAGGATGTATAGAGAGAAAGTGTGTGTGTGTGTGTGTGTGTGTGTGTGTGTGTGTGTGTGTGTGTGTGTTGCTGGGCTACCTACCTACAACTGATGATTGGGGAGCTGACACTGTCTGGGCTGCCCAGGGGAGAGTAGGGAGGGGGGGCTTCACCGAGCAAGACTGGAGGGGGGTCACTGGGGCTGGGGAATGGAGGGAAACCTGAGGGAGAGGGGTGGGGGGAGAGGTGGAGGGGGGGTGGGGGAAATAGGAAAGATGGGGAGAGGGGGACAGAGTAGGAGGAGGATGGAATATGGGAGGAGGCAGAGAGAGGGTAAGGCAATGAGAAGAAACAAGAATGTTTCGTTCACACAAAAGCTTTCACTTCTGAGTACACATGACTGGCTAGAAATAGAATATGGAAGTGAAACCAGTTGTTATTGCTGGATAGATTTCCTCTTCTACTAGGCTAGGTAGTTACTATTCAGCTATCTAGTAGCTACGGGGGGAAAAAAAGTTGCAAAATCATCAACAGCAAATAGCTGAGCTGTTAATAAACTAGCTAGCTAGACAGTTTATGGTGCATCCAGCTAAGCTAGCTAGTTGACCTTAGCAAGCTAGTTAGCTACTGTTGCTAGCTAGGTAGCTAGCTATTGTTGTTAGCTAGCCAGCTAAGTAACCTAGCCAATGCCAGCTAGCTACTGTTATTGTTATAGCTAGCTACTCACTCTGTGGCTTCGGGGAAAAGCCATACGAGGCACCATTCGTCCCATCGTGCTGGTCTGAAAGCAACGGGCTCCGCTCTCCATCTGGCATAGCGTAGCTAGTGGGGCCCAGCGCAGGCTGTAGACAAACTGGGGTAGTGTGTATGGCCGGGTCGACTCGCTGCGTGTCGTTTATGGCCGGGTCGACTCGCTGCGTGTCGTTTATGGCCGGGTCGACTCGCTGCGTGTCGTTTATGGCCGGGTCGACTCGCTGCGTGTCGTTTAGCTTGGTAGGATTCACATGATCACGGAAACCAGGAAGAAGGAAGCAAAGAACAACACTCTGTCACATGACTCGTTACGCAAGTGATGGGACCGGATGTTCAAAACAATTTACGTCCTCAATAGAAATAGGGAGGTCGGAAGTCGTCTAGTGATATAATAATAATAATAATATGCCATTTAGCAGACGCTTTTATCCAAAGCGACTTACAGTCATGCGTGCATACATTTATATATATTTTTTGCGTATTGGTGGTCCCGGGGATCGAACCCACTACCCTGGCGTTACAAGTGCCATGCTCTACCAATTGAGCTACAGAGGACCACATCGGTCGGTTTGTTGTTTTTTGCCCGCCACACCCACACACCATACGGCCACTTATTATAGCTCAATGGACAGCCGCAGTTTATAAACCCAGAGGCGCAACGATTGAGAAACAGACCAGGCCGGGGGGGGTTTAGGGTTTGAGAAGTCAATGACAGAAGTGAAAAATGATTCCTTTTTAGTTGTTAATTTTCTCGAAACCTAATGGCACAACCTTAAGTAGTTAAAACATGTTATTACTCCAACCTCGTGAAAGTGACAAACTGACACGTTTTCATTTTGGTCAAAAACAACTTTAGATTGAAGGAGTGCCTTTGAGTTGGTTGCCCTGTGCGACCGTTAGACCCGATGACGTGATCCTACGCATGCGCTTAGCTAGCCAACTTCGCCATGACGTCGCCTACAAGTGTGATCGGGGATTTCTATAGGAGAAGCAGTTTTAGCAAATATTTTGTACAATATAACCCCAGCCTGTCGTTTCCAATGGGAACAAATTAGTAATAGTGGGCAAAACAGGTAGCTTAGTGGGTAAGAGCGTTGTGCCAGTAACCGAAAGGTCGCTGGTTCTAATCCCAGAGCCGACTAGGTGAAAAATCTGTCAATGTGCCCTTAAGCAAGGCACTTAACCCTAATTGCTCCTGTAAATCGCTCTGAATAAGAGCTTCTGCTAAATGACAAAAAAAAAAAGTGAGGATGGGGGGCATAGCCAAGCACAAGCTAGCAAGAGCCTATTGGCCCGTTCTAGCATGTATTTGCATATTTACGTTTGGGAACGCCTACTCTGAAGTGCCTGTGTGCAATAATTTAATTCGCCCTTGCACTCCTTCTAAACAACGCAATTAAAAAAAAAAAACGTTACTAAAGGGTAAAATCTACAAAACTTAGTCCACTTTGTTCGTAACAGATTGTAGTTTCTTTGGAACAAAACTGTAGTGAGATCAAATGTTTAATTGATAAGAAACTTAGCATAATGCTGGCCATAATCCATCTTGCTCCATCTTCTCCCACTGCCGGCCACTGGGCTTCCTCTCATCACCATATTTGGTAGTGAGTGGAAACGCCAACCGGATGCTTCACACGTATACATCCGGTGAAATATCTGGCTCATTGTTCTGTGGTTTTAGCCTATCTTCTTAATGTACTGTATTTGAATAAAGTTCTATATGGGCGAAATCCTGCGTCTAGTGAGGTCCGGCCTTAGGACCTGCTCTACAACATCCGTAGAGTACGAACCTACGTCACACAGGAAGTGGCGCAGGTCCTAATCCAGGCACTTGTTATCTCCCGTCTGGACTACTGTAACTCGCTGTTGGCTGTCACCCTGCTCTTCCGCACACTCCACTAGCTTCCAGTCGAAGCTCACATCCACTACAAGACCATGGTAATTACCTACGGAGCAGCAAGAGGAACTGCCCCTCCCTACCTTTAGGCTCTGCTCAAACCCTACACCCCAACCTGAGTACTCTGTTCTGCCACCTCTGGTCTCTTGGCCCTCCCACCCCTACCGGAAGGCAGCTCCCGCTCAGCCCAGTCCCAGCTCTTCTCTGTCCTGGCACCCCAATGGTGGAACCAGCTTCCTCCTGAAGCTAGGACAGCAGAGGTCCCTGCCCATCTTCTGAAAGCATCTGAAACCCTTCCTCTTCCCCCCCAAAAAAAAAATCCTGAACCAAGACTTAAACTTGATAATGAGTAATAACTAATTACATAAAAATACACTTCAATTTAACTAAGCTAATAAACTTTAGCTAAATCCTGTGAAACACCTATTATTACTCAGTGGAGGCTCCTCAGAGCGGAGGCTCCTCAATGCCCAAAGAGCATTTAACACCATACAACAGAATCTGTATGATTTGAAGCTGGTTCTGAATTCGGGTAAAACAAAAATGCACTGTATTTTTCAAATGCCAGGCATGTTACTAATCATGTCATTGCTACATTGGATGGACATACTACAGAGCAAGTCAAAGTGTATACATATTTGGGAGTGTGGGTGGATGACAAGCTGAGCTTCACTGTTCATGTGGAGAACTCGATAAGGAAGCTCAAGTGGCTTGCGAAAGTATTCACCCCCCTTAGTATTTTTCCTGTTTTGTTGCCTTACAACCTGGAACTGAAATTGATTTTTTTGGGGGTTTGTATCATTTGATTTACACAACATGCCTACCACTTTGAAGATGCAAAATATTTTTTCTTGTGAAACAAACAAGACCAAAAAAACTGAACTTGAGTGTGCATAACTATTCACCCCCCCCCAAAGTCAATACTTTGTAGAGCCACCTTTTGCAGCAATTACAGCTGCAAGTCTCTTGGGGTATGTCTCTATAAGCTTGGAACATCTAGCCACTGGGATTTTTGCCCATTCTTCAAGGCAAAACTGCTTCAGCTCCTTCAAGTTGGATGGGTTCCGCTGGTGTACAGCAATCTTTAAGTCATACCACAGATTCTCAATTGTATAGAAGGTCTGGGCTTTGACTAGGCCATTCCAAGACAATGTTTCCCCTTAAACCACTAAAGTGTTGCTTTAGCAATATGCTTAGGGTCATTGTCCTGCTGGAAGGTGAACCTCCGTCCCTAATCTCTGGAAGACTGAAACAGGTTTCCCTCAAGAATTTCCAAGGATTTAGCGCCATCCATCATTCCTTCAATTCTGACCAGTTTCCCAGTCCCTGCCGATGAAAAACATCCCCACAGCATGATGCTGCCACCACCATGCTTCACTGTTGGGATGGTGTTCTCGGGGTGATGAGAGGTGTTGGGTTTGCGCCAGATTTCCAAAAAGCTAAATTTTAGTCTCATCTGACCAGAGTACCTTCTCCCACATGCCTTTTGGCGAACACCAAACGTGTTTGCTTATTTTTTTCTTTAAGCAATGTCTTTTTTCTGGCCACTCTTCCGTAAAGTCCAGCTCTGTGGAGTGTACGGCTTAAAGTGGTCCTATGGACAGAAACTCCAATCTCCGCTGTGGAGCTTTGCAGCTCCTTCAGGGTTATCTTTGGTCTCTTTGTTACCTCTTTGATTAATGCCCTCCTTGCCTGGTCCGTGAGTTTTGGTGGGCAGGCCCTCTCTTGGCAGGTTTTTTGTGGTGCCATATTCTTTCCATTTTTAAATAATGGATTTAATGGTGCTCTGTGGGATGTTCAAAGTTCCGGATATTTTTTTATAACCCAACCCTGATCTGTACTTCTCCACAACTTTGTCGCTGACCTGTTTGGAGAGCTCCTTGGTCTTCATGGTGCCGCTTGCTTGGTGGTGCCCTTTGTTTAGTGGTGTTGCAGACTCTGGGGCCTTTCAGAACAGGTGTATACATACTGAGATCATGTGACAGATCATGTGACACTTAGATTGCACACAGGTGGACTTTATTTAACTAATTATGTGACTTCTGAAGGTAATTGGTTGCACCAGATCTTATTTAGGGGCTCCATTGCAAAGGGGGTGAATACATATGCACGCACCACTTTTCCGTTACTTATTTTTTAGAATTTTCTGAAGCAAATTATTTTTGTCATTTCACTTCACCAATATGGACTATTTTGTATGTCCATTACATGAAATCCAAATAAAAATCCATTTAAATTACAGGTTGTAATGCAACAAAAGAGGAAAAACGCCAAGGGGGCTGAATACTTTTGCAAGGCACTGTAGGTCTTTATTACCGGCATAAGGCTTGTTTTTCTCTGGAGGCCCAGGAAGGAGCTGGTACGATATACATTACTGGCGGTTTTAGATTTTAGTGATGTTATGTGTATATAATGCAAATTAATTACTTAAAAATCATACAATGTGATTTTCTGGATTTTTGTTTTAGATTCCATCTCTCACAGTTGAAGTGTACCTATGATAAAAAATTACAGACCTCTACATGCTTTGTAAGTAGGAAAACCTGCAAAATCGGCAGTGTATCAAATACTTGTTCTCAATGTACCTGTAATGTATACTACCCCAATGTATGATGTAGATAAAATCTAAAAATAATAATCCCTTTTAGGAAAATATAAAAACATGTTAATATACGCCTCATTTCACATACTCCTCGCACAAAAAATACCTGATTTTTTTAAATTTTATTTTACTTCCACATAATGCAGTAGTCCCAGCAGCATTTAGAAAACACACAGAACCGTAGTTCACAGTCAGAGATACACACGATACGTCCCAAATGGCGTTCGGGACAGAAACACATCTATACACATCAATAATGTATCAATATATTAATAAATGTAAACGTCATCACGAAACATGATTTCTCCTCTGTACACATACATACATACATTCCTCTCCGCTGTCAACAAACAAAACATCAAGTTTAAAACCATGCCAGCGTCCCAGTTCACTACAGAGTGCACTATGGGGCGCTGGTCAAAGGTAGTGCGCAATTTTGGACGCAGAGAGTAACAATATCGTTACAAAAAACAAAAAACAAAAACACGGAAACATTTCAACATAAAACCCAAGAGGCAAACCAGTACCCTGATCACGTTGTAAGAATAAACTCAACGGTAACCGTCTCAAATGGCACCCTATTCACAATGTAGTGCACTACTATTATATTAGTGCACTACATAGGGAATAGGGTGCTGTTTGGGATGAATACCATTTATCCCTTCATATGAATAGAACACATAAAATACATATGTACACTGAGTGTACCAAACATTTAGAACACCTTCCTAATGTTGAGTTGCACCCCCTTTTGTCTCAATTCGTCGGGGCATGGACTCTACAAGGTGTCAAAGGCGTTCCACAGCGATGCTGGCCCATGTTGACTCCAATGCTTCCCACAGTTGTGTCAAGTTGGCTGGATGTCCTTTGGGTGGTGGACCGTTCTTGATACACACGGGAATCTTTTAAATCTGAAAAACCCAGCAGCCTGGCAACTACTACCACACCACGTTCAAAGGCACTTCAATCTTTTGTCTTGCCCATTCACCCTCTGAATGGCACACATACACAATCCATGTCTCAATTGTCTCAAGGCTTAGAAATCCTTTAACCTGTCTCCTCCCCTCAATAAGGGATCATAGCTTTCACCTGGATTCACCTGGTCAGTCTATGGCATGGACAGAGAAGGTGTTCATGTTTTGTATACTCAGTGTAAGTACAGGTAGTAGACCTGGGTTCAAATACTATTTGACATCATTTCAGATACTTTATCTGGGCTTGATTGAGCTTGTCCACCTGAAAAGAAAAACTATAGAAAAGTCCCAAAAGTACAAACTGCAAACCCTGGCCATCTGGCACTCCAGGCAGACTGAAGCAAACGCTCAAAGCATTTCAAATGATAAAAAAATAAAAAAAAGTATTTGAACCCCAGGTCTGATAGGTAGGTACGTAAAAAGTTTAAAACACAAAACACACACACAGGTAGAGATCTATGGAGGACTAAAAGTGCCACAATTAAATAAATAAATACACCATTAAATAATTACTTAAATGTGTCATTAATTAATTAAAATTAGAATTAAATACATAAATGTGTTATTAAATGTGTCATTAATTAATTCAAATACCGATTCATTTTATGTAAAATACATATATAATAATTTCACTATTTACATTTACATTTCATGGTCCTGCGTTGGAGTGCTTCCTGAATTACTTAAAACTGTCAAACTGACCCATCAAAAGTTGGTAGGCGGAACCTAACGCCTGATTGGTTACCCTCTGCATCAAGCCAAGACAAATCAATTCCGGATAATGTCAGCAGGTCCTGCTTCTACATCCTCTGCTAAGTTTAAAATGTCTCTAACCAACTCCCTGGAAAGTTCACAGAGATCCTCCATTGTCTCTATCCAGGTTGGCCTACTCTACTTCAGACCAAAGCAATGGATCAGACTAGATTCGCGTTAGCCCCGCCCACTGACTTTGATGGGTCAGTTTGACAGTTTTAAGTAATTCATGAATCACTGCAATGCAGGATCATGAAATGTAAATGTAAATAGTGAAATAATTATATATGTATTTTACATAAAATGAATCGGTATTTGAATTAATTAATGATACATTTAATTACACATTTATGTATTTAATTCTAATTTTAATTAATTAATGACACATTTAAGTAATTATTTAATGGTGTATTTATTTATTTAATTGTGGCACTTTTAGTCCTCCATAGAGATCGAAAGCTGAGTAGTCTATATAAATAAATAAATAAATAATGTTACGATTCATCTTCCCTCGCAGTTTACAACTGAAGTGATTCAGATCAATCTTCCCTCACAGACAAATTCTGAGTGTGTGTGTGGTAGTGTGTGTGTGTGTGTGGTAGTGTGTGTGTGGTAGTGTGTGTGTGGTTATGTGGTGTTGTGTGTGTGGTGTGTGTGGTTGTGTTGTGTTGTGTGTGTGGTGTTGTTGTGTGTGTGTTGTGGTAGTTTGTGTGTGTGTGTGTGTTGTGTGTGTGTGTGTGGTGTGTTGTGTGTGTGTGTGTGTGTGTGTTGTTGTGTGTTGTGTGTGTGTGTGTGTGTGTGTGTGTGGTGTGTTGTGTGTGTGTGTGTGTGTGGTCGTGTGTGTGTGTCGTTGTGTGTGTTGTGTGTTTGGTAGTGTGTGTGTTTGTGTTGTGTTGTGTGTTTGTGTGTTGTGGTTTGTTGTGTCTTGTGTTGTGTTCGTTGTGTTGTTGTGTGTGTTGTGTGTTGTTGTGTGTGTCGTTGTTGTGTGTTCTTGGTGTGTTGTGTGTGGTAGTGTGTGTGTGTGGTAGTGTGTGTGTGTGTAATACAAGTTAGAATACATCAGTAGTATTCAGTGATTTAATATCAATACCCACTTCTGTAACATTGTACTGTAACCCAAACATTCCTGATGCTCCCCTAACCTTCATGTAAAACTGCAGCAACCAGAACTTCAATGTAACCTTTCAGTGACCTGACCGAAACGCAGCCACAATGTTGAAAGAACATTAAATGTTAATCAAACATTTCACTGTAACATTTCAGTAACCTATGATATTAACCTGCATATTATATTTAGGGCTGTCAAAGTTAACGTGTTAATAACGTGACATGTTTATCGCTGTACATTTTGTTGTTAAATCGCATCTCAATTTTTTCACTGCACGGAACCTTTTAAGTGCACGTGTTTCCTCACAAACCCTTTTAAGCGCAGAACACAACACAGAACACAGCTACATTCAATACTTGTGCCTTTACATCACTTTAGACAGTGAGACAAAATCATGTCAAAGTTATGCGGAGCTATGCTTTCTCTTTCTGCCGTGGATTCGTGTGCACGTCGCCGGCCGTTTTAAATACATTTTTTTGGTTTGATAACAAACAACATTGTTTAGCTAGCTAGCAACCTGATAACTTGACCGCTGACTAGGCTAAGCACACATTTGGATGGCACAGGAAGAACTGAAAAGGAACAGAGCTCAAAGAGATGCTTCAAAAGGTAGGCTGCATATGTAAGAGTGGGGTGTGTATGATCGCGTGTGTGAGAGAGAGGATGTGTGAGAGAGAGGATGTGTGTGTGAGAGAGGATGTGTGTGTGAGAGAGAGAGAGATGATGTTTGTGTGAGAGAGGATGTGTGAGAGAGAGGATGTGTGTGTCCGCCGGCTGTGTGTGTGAGCGCGCGCGCGCTGCTGTTTGTGTGCGCGCGGCTGTGTGTGTGCGCGCGCGCTGCTGTTTGTGTGCGCGCGGCTGTGTGCGCGCGGCTGTGTGCGCGCGCGGCTGTGTGCGCGCGCGGCTGTGTGTGTGCCGCGCGCGCGCTGCTGTTTGTGTGCGCGCGGCTGTGTGTGTGCGCGCGCGCGCGCGCGGACTGTGTGTGACGAGCGAGCGAGGGTGTGGGAGGGGGGGGAGAGTGTGTAGGCCTGTGTTATCTGAACAGTACAGATGGTTACAGTGTTTCTAGAACATTGTTCTTTGTATCCATATCCTTATGTTTATGGTGGAAATGCTATTAAAACATTCTGATACAGATTACTTTGTGTTTCCGTCCCTTAAAAGCAAAGCATAGTAATGCATGTAACTCTTTAAACGGAACAATCTTTTAGGGCCAAATTTGAGCAAATTCAAAAATTGCGATTAAACTAATGCCATTAATTCAATTAATTATTTTAATCGTTTGACAGCCCTAATTATATTAAGACCATAACGTAACCACAACTTTGAAGGAATGTTAATGCTATCACCAAAAGTTGTGTGAAGGTTGTGGGAATGTTAGACATCGTAATCCGGAACAGCAGAGTAGCTGATTCCACCGACGGTTGGGGGACTGGAATGTAGAGGGAACAGCCAACAGAACACCGACCCTGAGAGAGGAGGGAGGGGGGAGAGAGAGTTATGTTCTAAATATGTTACTATGAGCTCTTTAAGACGGACTAAGCAGAGCCACAGACAGACAGTTGAACAACACACACACACCTCTCCCGAAGACCTCTCTGAGCAGGGCTAGTTTGGGCTTGCGCGTGTGTGTGCTGTGTGTCGGAGGCTGAGCGGTGCTGCCGGTGGTCCATGTTCTGTCCTTCATCAGTCTGTTCCTCATCTGTTCTATAGGAGTCTCATCTGTTATAATGGACACCAACTGAGAGAGAGGGGATGGAGAGAGAGGGATGGAGAGAGAGGGATGGAGAGAGAGGGTGGAGGGAGAGGGATGGAGAGAGGGGGGGAAGAGGTGAGAGAGGGGTTGTTCTCGCTTTTTTCTCGCGGGTTTCTTCGTGGTTTCTGTCTCTCTGGCGCTCTTTTTGTGCTCTCTTTTTATGTCCTCGTTGTTTTGCGCTCTGTTGTTTCTCGCTCTTTGTTTCTCCTCTCTTTTTGCTCTCTTTTTTTGCTCGCTTCTATGCTCTTTTTTCGCTCTGTATGTTTTTCCGCGCGTTTTCGTGGCGCTCTTGGCTTCTTTGGTCGCTTTCTCGTCTCTCTTTTTGCGTTCTCGTTCTTTCTCTGTGTCATCTCCTCTTTCGGCCTCTTCTGGGCGCCCCGCCGACCACTTGCCTGCCCCGCTCTTGTGTATGTTCATTATCTCTCTTTCTTTCTTTCTCTCTTTTCTTTCTTTCGCTATTTCTCTTTTCGATTATTTTTTCTCTTGCTCCTTTTGTTCTCTTTTTCTCTCTTTTTCTCTCTTTTTTTCCTCCCTTTTGTTTATCTCTCCTTTTCTTTATGCACTCTCCGTTGTATCTCTTTCTCTCGTTTTTTTTTCTACTCTTTTGTCTCTCTCTTTTGTCTCCGCGTGTTTGGCTCGTTTCTTTCTGTGCGCTTTCTGTCTCTCTTTTGTCTTTCTCGTTTCTTTCCTCTGCTTTTTTTTACCCCTTTCTCGCTCCGGTTTCTAGCCCCCCTTTCTGCCGTTTCCCCCCTCCCCCCTGTCCCCCAAAGTTTTCAAATTCCATCAAGGTCTGTCCAATAAAGAGGTATTTCTCTGGCAGGGGTCTTCTGAATGCCAAAAACACACAATTTGAACCGGTAGACATCCTTGCCCATACCCTGGTCCTTCTCAGACTTTTTTGGCACCAACATCCTCCAACCCTCCCCCCTCCATAGGGCGAATAGACGAATTTCCAGGGGGACCATAACGTCATGGGGTCCAAGGGTGGAAGGAAACCACGAGTATACTAAATAAGTAGAAAAAAGATCCGGGAGGATAAGGACGGACGTGGGCACCGGAGCAATCAGCAATGACGGAGTGCGATGAAGGAGGCCCAAGCGTCATCCAAGTCCCCCCCGTGGCGGAGGAGAAACCTATCTCCTTCTTAATCTTTCTCTCTCAAGGGTATCGTATCTGCTGATTAGTGTGAGCCAAATAAATAGTGTGGGCTTTTTTCTTACACAACTTCCCGAAGGGATAACGAAATTCATCCCCCCTTCTTTGTACGGGTCTCTCCCATCATGAACCGCAAATCGCGGCACCATCTCTCTCTAAAAGCTTAGATCTATGACAGGTTCAGTCCGCCGAACCGCCCCCGCGCCACGCATGCGAAGCGAGCCACAAGGGAGAAGCACACACAAACGCGTAGATGAGTCCTGCAATAACCAATCTAATCACAAAATAGAGACGAATGGGCCGTAGGGAGATAAGGGTCGAGGAAAAGGCAGTCAAGAAGAACGAGGGTGGACGATCGGAATGTAGTAGGGTCGGACTTTGTGCAAGAATATAGGCCGCGATAAGAGGGACTGGAAATATCTGAGCGCAAATTAGGACACACTCTAGACTAAGAGACCGGAAATAGGAAACAGTATGCCGCAAAAAAAGTATACGAGCAGGTTGAGATACAAGGGAAATACGGCAGGTACGAAGAAGGATTAGGGTCAAGTGGTCTCGTACGTTAAGCTTCGGAGAAGGAGAGCACGATAAGATCTTAATCGTTGCCCTCCGCAAGAACGGCCTAAGGGTGGTAAACAACTGTGGTTAATTGTTTGAATCTCGTTACGCGATTAACCGCAAGTGTGAACGGTTTTTGGACTCCTGATCTCGCCGCCTTCTTTTCCTTTGGGGACGCATTTAACGTCTCCTTTCTACATAGCAGATCTCTCCAAAAGATCTACGCCAACTGTCGAATTCCGATAAGCCGGTCTCTCCACTGCGCGGGTGTAAAGGTCAAGAGAGGTGGACATTGTTGTAGCTCTGTCCTTCGTCTGCCCACTGGGGGCTGCGTGTCCAATCCGAAAACAGAATTCCACCCAGATGCTCTCTATCTCCCGGATTACAACTGGGATGAAGACCACTCCGTATTCTCCAAATTCCTCCAAACCCAGGCCCGATACCCACCAGAGGCCGACATGGAGTAGAGACTTGGTGGCCTACCTAGAGGAGAGACGAGACAGAGAGAGACAGAGACAAGAGAGAGACTAGACAGAGAGAGACAGAACAGAGAAGACCGAGACAGAGAGAGACAGGAGAGAGACAGAGAGAGACCAGAATAGAAGAGAGAGGAGAGAGAGAGAGAGAGAAGAGAAGAGAGGGTGGAGATGATCAACGGTTTCTAAATAATTAACCAGCAATCCCATTCAAAAACAAAAAAACAGCCCATTAAACTCTACAACATGAACCAATCGTACGTGGGCTCCAAATAGTGCAGAGAAATCATTGAACTCAAATGAATGAATGAAACTCTATACCTTCTTGACCCACTCACAATAACCAAAACATAAGGAAAAGTTGTCATATCGGCTACTCGAAACATCGTTGTATATTCCAAAAACAAGCAATCAAAAGTAAATCAGAACAAAAACAAAATGTTTCTGAAAAATGTTGAAAACGAATTGTAAACAATTAGAAAACAACTAGGAAGACAAAAAATGTCAAATGAAAAAAAACATAAGCATCCAAAACAAACGCCGGACTACGCTTGACTACTTTTGAAACTACTCTGAAACATATACACATACACTGAAACGCAAGAAATTGAATATACACAGTAAGACACTACTTTGAACTTGAAAAACGCAATTGACCAAAATCCCGTTCTGGGACATTGGAACAATTAAGCAAGACAAAGCACAAGAATTAGCCATCCAAGCTAAGGAATTGAGAGAGAGAAGAGAGAGAGAGGAGAGAGAGAGAGAGAGAGAGAGAGAGAGAGGACAGAAACAGAGAGAGACATACAGAGAGTAGAGAGAGGGACAGAGTAGAGAGAGACGAGAGAGAGGGACAGAAGATAGAGGAGAAAGAGAGGGCACGAGAAAGAGAATAGACAGAGAGGAGAGAACTAGAGAGCGAGATAGAGAGACAGATCGCGAGAGAGACAGATAGACACACAGAGAGATAGAGAGGGACCTGAGACAGAGAGAGAGAGAGTGGAGAGACAGAGCGACAGAAGAGGAGAGAGACAGATAGAGACACAAGAGAGAGAGATAGAGAGGGACATAGACAAGAGAGAGAGGACAGAGGAGAGATAGGGCAAGAAAGAGAGAGACCGACAGAGAGAGAGAGAGGGCCAGAGAGAGAGGGGCAGAGAGAGAAGAAAGAGAGGGGCGAGACGAAAGAGAGAGAGACAGAGAGAGAGAGAGAGATAGAGAGCGAGATAGAGAGAGAAAGATGAGATCGCGAGAGAAAGCGGAGAACGAGCGAGAGACACGAGAGACACACAGAGAGATAGAGAGGGACAGATACAGAGAGAGACATAACAGAGAGAGAGAGAGAGCGCGAGAGAGACAGAGAGAAGAGAGAGAGAGAAAACAGAAAAGAGAGCAGAGAGAGAGACCAGAGACCGTAGAGAGAGAGAGGACGAGACAGAGAGAGAGTAGAGGAGCGCGAGAGGGACGAAGAAGAGGAGAGAGAGAGAGAGAGAGAGAGAGAGAGAGGCGCGAGCGAGAGGCGAGAGAGAGAGCTAGGCGGAAAAGAGAGACAAGAGAGAGAGAGAGACAGAGGGAGAGAGAGCGAGAGAGAGACAAATAGACGAAGAGAGAGAGAACAAAAACAGAGATCACAGAGAGAGAGCGAGACAAACAGGAGATAAGAGAGAGAGAGAGAGAGAGAAGAGGAGAGACATAGACAACAGAGATAAGAGAGACAGAGAGATCTCATCTCTCTCTCTGGACCACTTCCCCTCTCTCTCGTCTCTCTACACATATATATGAGTATCCCAGATATACTATATCCTATACTAGATACGAATAAAAGAGAGAGATCAGAGAGATAGACAGAGAGAGAGACACAACAGAGACATAGAGAGGAAGAGAGTGGACGAACAGAGGAGAGAATAGGGACAGAGAAGAGAGAGGGGGCGCAAGAAGCGAGGGACAGAGATGAGGGACGAGAGAGAGAAAGAGAGGGGCTAGAGAAGAGAGAGAGACCAGAGAGAGAGAGGAGAGAGAGAGCGAGAGAGAGAGAGAAAAGGAGCGCGAGAGAAAGCGAGAGAGAAAGAGAGAGAGAACAATGAACACACAGATATATAGATAGGACAAGACATAGAGAGACAGAGACACGAGATAGAGAGAGGACGAGAGAGAGACAGAGAACAGAGAAGAGAGACAGAAAGCGAGATACAGAAAGAGAGAGACAATGAGAATAGACACTAGACATAGAGAGAGAGAGGGACCAGACAGAGATAGAGAGAGGGACAGAGAGAGAGAGAGAGAGAGGAGAGAGAGAGAGAGAGAGCGAAGCGAAGCGAGAGCGAGAGAGAGAGCGAGAGCGAGAGAGAGACAGAAGAGAGGGATAGGACAGAGAGAGAGAGAGAGCGTAGAGAGAGCAGAGATACAGAGAGAACACAGAAGGAGCGGAACACAGGGAGAGAGATGAATAGAGATAGAGACCTAGATAAAAAGAGGAACAGAGAAGAGAGAAACAGAGAGAGAGAGAGAGAGAGAGAGAGAGATAGAGAGACACAGAGAAGAGAGAAGAAGAGACATAGGAGAGAGAGAATACAGAGAGAAAGAGAAAGAGATAGAGAGAAGAACCAGAGAGAGTGAGACACAGAGAGAGAGACCACACACCCAGAGAGAGAGACAACAACACATAGAGAGAGACACACACAGAAGAGAGAGAGAGATAGACAGAGAGAGACCCAGAGACCTAGAGAGGGAACAGAGAGAGATAGAGAGTGACAGGAGAGAGATATGTACAGAGAGAGAGAGGGATGAGAGAGAGACAGAGAGCAGATAAGAGAGACAGAGAGAGAAAGATAGACATAGGATAGACATGATAGACAGAGAGAGAAAAGAAGACAGAGAGAGACAGACATCTAGATCGTATAGGAGAGACAGAGAAGAGACACAGAGATGAGGACATAGATAGAGATAGATACTACAGAGAGAAAGATATGAGAGAGCGAGAGACACAGAGACACAAGAAGAAAGCAGATCATATAGACTATAGAGATAGAGAGATTGGTACAGAGGATAGATAGTAGAGAGAGACAGAGACATAGATAGAGACATATACCGAGAGATGAGGACCAGAAAGAGAGAGCGAGCAGAGAGCGAGAGAGCTCGATAGAAAGCGCGAGAAAGAGAGATCACAACGACACAGAGATATAGTAGAGTGACAGAGACAGAAGAGACAGAGTAAGACAAAATAGAATAGACAGAGAGAGACACAGAGAGGAGGACCCAGAGACAGAGAGAAGAGAGGCCCACGGATCCAGAAGAGAGAGAGAGAGAGAGAGAGAACCAGAGAGAGGAGACACAATGGAGAGAGATATACAGAGAGACAGATAGAGAGAGAGAGACAAGAGAGAGTAGAGAGCGAAAGAGAGACAGAGTAGAGAGACATAGAGAGATAGAGATACACAGATATCGAGAGAGACACAGAGAGAGAAAGAAGAGACAACAACATCGATAAATATATACAGAGAGAGAAAGAGAGACAGAGAGAGAGAGAGAAAGAGAGAGAGACACTAGAGAGAGAGAGAGAGAGAAGAGATAGAGAGGGGGGGGGGGACATAAGAGAAGAGAGAGATAGTAGAGAGAGACAGACAATGACAGAGAGCGGGACAATAGAGCGATGAGATAGGGACAGAGAGAGAGAGAGAGGGACAGAGAGAGAGAGAGGTACAGAGAGAGAGAGAGATATATGGGACAGATAATAGAGGGACATAGTAGAAAGTGGATGATAGATAGATCAGAGAGAGAAAGATATTACAGAGAGAGAAAGAGAGACAGACAGAGAAAGAGAGAGAGACAGATTAGAGAGAGAGAGAGAGAGAGAGAGAGGGACCAGAGAGGGACAGAGAGAGAGAGAGAACAGGAGAGAGCGAGAGAGAGAGACAGAGAGAGATAGAGAGAGAGAGGGACAGAGCGAGAGAGAGAGGGGACATAGAGAGAAGAGAGAGAGAGAGACAGAGAGAGAGAGAGCGACCTCGATCTATCTCTCTCTCTCTCTCTCTCACTTTCTTCCTCTAGCTCTCGCGGTCCCTCTCCCGCTCTCTCTCTCGCTTCCTTCTAGAGCCGCTGCATCTCTTGCCCTTCTC